ATACCAATCCAAAACCTAACCTACTAAAATCCAATATGACTACAAAGACGGTTTTGAAGATCAATTCGCGGTTAACCATCAACAAAATAATAATGTTTGACGGTAGCTTTGGTTCCACTCGCCAAACATATACAGTTTATATATATTTTCTTTTAAAGATCTTACAGGTATAAAACAGGTTTAGCCCAACCGATTCCAAGACGACTTGTGATGGGGCCACAATAAAATCTTAAAATATAACTAACAAATTTTTGGACCCTACACTTAACCAACTTAAATTTGAGCAGTTAACATTAACAACCAACTAGGAAGACAGCAAGTAGCAAACTTAAGCTGTTAACGATTTCCGGTCTTAGGCCACGTAATGATATTGGTACTGTTAAAACAAAACCTATGTTAGTTACATAATGATATTGGTATATACGTATCTCTTTCAAGATTGTCTCTTACTCTAAAGGCAGGTTCAATTCTCCATTGGCCCTTGCAAGATTTTGGCCACATTTTATTCATTTTCTTTCCAAAATATATTTTCTCTATTGTGAGTTCGTGATATCTTTGTCAATTTGTGAATTACTTTTTTTTTTCTCCTTTTTGACAAGAATTGTTTTTAGATTTACATTATAATATTATTTTTGGTTAAAAATGATAAGAACTTGGTAACAATTCCACAATTGATCTAGTATATTAAAAATAAAAATAAAACATATATTACATTAATAATCCATATGTATTTATCATTTTTACGTCATTTGGATCAACAAATCCCGATCCATAGTCAACTAAATCCTACAATGTGGGGTAACACGAGTACCTGGAATCTAACTCTGATAGAGAAAGCTACATATATATAGGTGAACATTTAACCGTTTGACTAAAGACACTTCCGTATTTTTTTCTAAACCATTTTCCTAATTTAGAAAATATAATAAAACATAAATTCATGAGAAAAATATGTAGTATAAAGTTTTTAAAATTGAAGGCCACCCATACTTCTACATATACACGAAAGCTACTATCAAGGAGAAGCTTTAAATCAGAAATAGAAGGACAAACAGTAATTTGTAGACGATTATTTTTTAAACAATTTTAATCTTAATCAAGTGGTGGTTGTGTAGGGGTAAAAGATTAATTAAACAATAAGGAGTAAACTCGTTTTTTCTTGAATTTTAAATTTTGTGAATTTGGAAAAATGCCCTATTTATAAGTTTTTGTTTGAAAAGTACCATATCCTTGTTTTTCTTTTAAAATCTATATTAAATTACTAAAACAGCTTCATGATTAAAAATAATTTACATGTAAACCAGAAAAATCCATTAATTTAGTTTTTAAATTAATATTTGAGTTAACTAACAATTTTAAAGATAATTCTTATCTTAAAATTTCTTTTAAACAATATAAAATAATTGTGAATTCACCTATTAAGTGATTCTATATTTGACTAAAATTTAACTGTTCATTATAACTTACAAAATCTCTTGACTAAAATTACTTTTGATTAGATTTCTATTGGTTTTTGGGTACTCCATCTCTAATAAATAACACATGTAAATAAAACAAGGGCAAAAAGCTATAAGTTATACATTGATCTAGTTAATAACACATGTATACATCATTCAACCGATGTTAAATAGTAATCTACGTTTATCTTATAATTGGTGCAGACTTTAGAGTTGAAGAATTAGCTTGTTACTTAAAGATTTTTTTTTATATAACATGACAATATTAAGGGATAGCCACATTTTAGACACATTCAAAATCATCATTAAAAAAATGTAAGTTAGACTGAAAAAAACTACTAATATAAATTTTTTTTTGGCAAAGCTAATTAATCACCAGAAAATAATATAAAAAATTAGCTCATGATATGGTTTCTCTTTGGAATCTCTCATTTATTTTATTTTATTTTGTTTTGTTTCTACAATGATATAGTTAGTGGTATTAATGTTAAATAAAATTAGGACTCAGGAAGGCAATAAACAAAATATCAACAAGGAATCACGAAAGATACATTCGAACGGGCTCAAATCGACGCAGAAACAAAAAGCTTTGGAATGATTTAATAATACAAATGTGGCGGAAAAGTTTGAAGAATTTGGCATTCTATACTAGCGAACGAAAACAAAAGTTTAGTCAAATAGTTAGAATTACCAACAAATCAATATTCGTATACGAATGTGTTTTGTAAACCATGATTTTTCATAACTTTATTCGAAGTTGTTTCAATATTTTTTCCCTCATTTCTCGTTCCTATTGTAGAAAAAACTCCTGATTCTTTTTTCTTTTTTTGTTAATTTTTTTTTCTTATGTCAATAACCGCATTAGAAAAAGGCTATCACATGTGCATTTTCACAGAATGTACAATTCATATCTATAATTTATCACCTTTTTGTTAAAAATATATATAGCAATGTATATATATATATATATGTATATATATATATATATATATATCTCATTTATGTAATTTTCTTTAACATGTTGTGTTTGATATATACTCTAGATTTGTTCATTCACAGTTTATCATTTCTAAATATATTTCGTCCTATGAGTAAGATGTCATTTAAATTCTAAAATCAAATTTTATATTTTTGTTAAAACGCATAAATTAATTATTTAAAATTATAATATGTTTTCCTTAAATAGTGAGATATAAAGAGTCTAGCACACTAGAGAAATGAAAATATAAAGGGTTTATAAGAAATTAGTAAATCGAATCAGAACATGAGGGAGAAGGGAGGGGCCACCATACCGACGGGACGTATGGGACGGACAAATAATCAAGTGTCACGACACACATGAAAAAACCCACCACGTGAAGATCTCCTATTGGTATGTTTTCTCCTAAGAGCACCCACAGTGGTGCATGTGGGTGTATGAGTGTGAGTGTTAGTTTAATAATAAAATAAGGTTAGAGGTTACTTAATCAAAAAAGCATCCTGATAAAGAAACAATTTCCATGAAAACAAACAATTCAAATGCCATTTTCAGAACCGATCTTGTTCCACGAGAAACTAAACAAGGCATTGATGAAATCGCCTAGACCCAGAATCAAGTAATCTGAAGCAATCTAGCCCTTGAAGTTTCTTAATTCATGACATGAAAAGAGAAATTCACAAAACTGTTCGAAATTGATGAATTTAAAACCCTAGACTTTTAATTCGCCCAAATATCAAAGTTTCTCGGCAACGATGTGGTAAGCGACGAACCAAAATCAGTTCATAGAAGAGTACTCTAACCTCAGAGAGAGTTGATCGGAGGGAAACAAAGAGAGACGAAAAGCTTTCCGCGATTGCCTGCGAATCCTTCTCAACCGTTGCAAGGGTTCTCAAAATCTCTCCTTGTTTCAGCTCTGGTCTTCCTCCGTGATCTTGTTCCGGACCAGTTTCCTCCGACGAATTGTCCTCCACCGGCCGAACCACATCAGTTTCAGCTTCGGCATCCATTTTCCGGTGAGTACTCGATGTTGCCTCCGTTTTTTTTATTTTTACCCAACAAAATAAAACAAATTTTCGATATTAAAATTGGAACCAACCGAATTGTGACAGCTGTCACTTACACTTGGGTGTAAGATAACACTCGACTTGCGACTCCAAACTCACTATTACAATATTTTCGCTTTTTTTATTAGTCACATCCGAGGGAAAATTATCCCACTGCGTATGGCCTAAGTATAAACCAAAGTCAAAACACAACAAAGACATAATGCGTGCGAGCCAGCGAGTTTGTCCGAACACAACAAAGACATAATGCGTGCGAGCCAGCGAGTTTGTCCGAGTGAAACGAGAGTTCGGGTTTTCACTTTTTAGAGAGCCTCATAGTCGCTCGCTACCTAGATTCGGTTTCTCCACGTAAAGAAATTGGTTCACGTAGCTTCTACAATATTATATAAGAGCATCCCACGGGTGTTTTTTATGGGTTTCTTACAAAAAATTTTAAAGTTAAAAATAATTAAAATAAATGAAAACAACAAATAAAGTTAAGGATTGTTAAGAGTTGGCTTTAATATTAAGATTGTTAAGAGCTCCATATGTGTCGTTTTCTGATTGGGTCAAAAATATTAATAAAAGAAAAAAAAAATATGCCTTGTATGGCAATGGCAAAAATTTGGTTTTTTATATGTATTTTTATATGTCTTGTATGTTTAATTTTTTTAGGAAATTATAATATTTATTAAGTTTTATCAAATAAAAATGTTTATAATTTTTATTTAAATTTTTTTTTTTTTAAGAAACCCACTTAAGGACTTTACCATTAGACAAAGAAATTTTTAAGGATTCATCACAAACTCTTAACTTTAAAATTATCATAATTTATGATCCAAAAATGAAAAATGTTTAAGAATCCTTTTAAGGATTCAACCATTGATGTTGCTCTTACCTGTTTAGGTAAAATAATCTGAGTTTGAGTTTCCCTTACGTACCATGCACAAAAAGATTAAAAAAGCTTAATTAATTAAAATGAAAAAAATATTCATTAAATGGACTAATGGAGTACTATATCTCATGTTAATTTCTTGTGTTTTAAGCTAGTAGTAGAAATATATGTAAACCACTATCATGAAGTGCTATTATTACCCTAATTATTGCATCATTGCAAATAAACTTCCAAGTTTATGGCTGTTTAGGAAATTCAATCCAAAAAGAATACAGTAAACTTACGATTGGTTTTGCGGACTAGAATAAAGAGATAGACATATACTTTTAAGTATAGTAGATGAGAAAATAATTTCTACGAAAGAAAAAAATTATACTCTGGCCCCTTAAATATTCTGTCAAATGCCATTTTATTTTCTTTATGATCCTGCTTGGTCCATTTCTGGATTCCTGAAATGAACACACCATAATTTTCATGCCCATTTTTGTCCTCCCATTAACACTCACCAAACACCAAACGTACCTTCCTTCTTTTTATATATGTGTCTATATATCACTCCCACCTTCAAATGCTAAGAAAGTGGACATCACACCCTAGTCATGAATCTCATCAAGTAGAAACCTCCAAATAAACAGATTGCGTTTGCTCTTCTTCTTCTTCCTCTTTCGAATCTTCTATTTTCGTGTCAAAAACAAAGAAAATATGATGATATCTACCGCAAAAGCTCAATGTTTGCCACTTAAATTCTGCCTCATTTCTCAAGATTTTTGATTTCACACACTTACTCATTTCCGCATTTTACGCCTTTTCTTCACCATTGTTGCTTCTCGCATTGAAACCATATTGGTTTTGCAGCGTTAATGGCGCACTGCGTCTTCTTAAACCCGTTAACCTTTCCCTGCCAAATTTAATATTTTCTCAACCAAAAAAAAAGAGATAACAAATGGGTCACAACAAGTTGCTATAAAGGTCCCAACAGAAGAAGAAAAGAGAAGTTTGCCCGTGTCAATTTGTCACAAGCTTCATCACTATTTATAACTACCTTGCCAAGAAGATAGCCTAAAAAGGTATAACAGTTTCTTTGTCTATAGCGATCATCAAAAAGATGTCGATCTCTCGTACCCGAAATTTCTTCCAAAGATTCTGTGTCGAGGAATACAATATAGACACCATAAAACAGAGTAGTTTCCTCTCTGCCGATCTTCTACCATCTCTTGGAGCCAGAATTAACCAATCTACTAAGCTCCGTAAACATATAATCTCTCCTTTTAATCCACGTTATAGGTACTTTTCTCACCTCTTAAACTCTGTTTTCAACTACTCACGTTATAAGAATTTTGAACTACTCTGTTTTCAACTACTCACGTTAAAAATATTTTTAACTACTCTGTTTTTAATCCTCTGCTTTTGTGGAACAGAGCATGGGAGATGTGGCTAGTCTTTCTAGTTATTTACTCAGCTTGGATTTGCCCATTTCAATTTGCTTTCATCACCTATAAAAAAGACGCGATTTTCATCATCGACAACATTGTTAATGGCTTCTTTGCCATAGATATTGTTCTCACCTTCTTTGTTGCGTATCTCGATAGCCACTCCTATCTTCTAGTTGACAATCCTAAAAAAATAGCAATAAGGTGAGAAACCTTCTTTCTTTCTTTTTTAACTTGAAACCTTTTATAGGTGAATCAGAATCTCAAAATATGGTTGGAAATTGTAACATTTTCAGGTACCTTTCGACGTGGTTCGCTTTCGATGTGTGTTCCACAGCACCATTTCAGCCACTGAGCCTCTTGTTTAACTACAACGGAAGCGAACTAGAATTCAGAATTCTTAGCATGCTCAGATTATGGCGTCTCCGTCGAGTTAGCTCGCTGTTTGCAAGGTTTGCTTCTATGCTAACTAAGAGACCATACTCCTCTTAGGGTTTGATTAAGAAAGTGCTTACTCATCTCTAACTAACTCTTTCCTTTGCTTCAGGCTTGAGAAAGATATTCGTTTCAACTACTTCTGGATACGGTGCACAAAACTCATTTCGGTTAGTTCCAAAACAGAGCAAAATGAATATCATTTCTGAAATTCTCGTTTCATACCCGTAACCCTACATATTTAGGACATTTGTTCCAATGAGTCCAATATGAGACTTTTAAGTTTAAATTTTTTGATAATTTCTATATACATTTTTTGAAATTTTTCGAAATACCTAATCTAAATTTTACTTTATCCGAATTAGTGAGAGATTTTACCTCACCCGTTATCGAAATTTTTCGTCCCGTATTATATTAGGTATAACTCGGGTAGTCCCGACCGGCCGACCCATTTGTCTTTTAAATGGACACCTTATTAAAGCTAGTGACTTACTGGTGCTTGTTGATCTCAGGTCACTTTGTTCGCTGTACATTGTGCTGGATGTTTCAACTACCTGATAGCAGATAGATATCCTAATCCAAGAAAGACATGGATCGGTGCCGTGTATCCAGATTTCAAAGAAGCAAGTCTCTGGACTAGATATGTGACTGCTCTTTACTGGTCCATTACGACATTAACGACCACGGGATATGGAGATTTGCATGCTGAGAATCCAAGAGAAATGCTTTTCGACATTTTCTTCATGCTATTCAACCTCGGTTTGACAGCTTACCTCATTGGAAATATGACCAACCTCGTTGTTCACTGGACTAGCCGAACCAGAACCTTTGTAAGTTCGATCACTTTCTTTTAGTCTAGGCATGTTCATTTCGGATAAAAGAACGGTTGAGCAATGAGAGTAGCAAGTAGGGTATATGTGTACTCTTGAGTATTTTAAGTTGACCAAAATAATTTTGAGCATTATTAATCTGTAATTATTTGTGTTAAACAGAGGGATACAGTGAGAGCAGCTTCAGAGTTTGCTTCAAGAAATCAACTCCCACATGACATACAAGACCAAATGTTATCACACATTTGCTTAAAGTTCAAAACAGAGGGCTTGAAACAACAAGAGACCTTGAACAATCTGCCAAAAGCAATCCGGTCAAGCATTGCAAACTACTTATTCTTCCCCATTGTTCACAACATTTACCTCTTTCAAGGAGTTTCTCGTAACTTCCTATTTCAATTGGTAAACTTCTATATAATCTCTAACTTTTCCTAATAATGCAATATCTAGAGGTTACTAACTCCATGTACCTTTTTCTGTTCTAGGTTTCCGACATAGACGCCGAGTATTTCCCACCTAAAGAAGATATAATTCTACAAAACGAAGCTCCTACTGATCTTTACATTCTGGTTTCAGGAGCAGTGGTGAGTGAATTATATCGGTTATTCGTAAAAATGTGAATAAAAGCCTAGAAATCTTGTAACATTGTGTAATTGTTACAGGACTTCACATGCTACGTTGATGGACATGATCAGATTCAAGGGAAAGCAGTTATTGGAGATACGTTTGGAGAGGTTGGAGTTTTATGCTATAGACCACAACCATTCACAGTAAGAACAACCGAGCTATCTCAAATACTACGGATAAGCAGAACATCGCTGATGAGCGCAATGCACACTCATGCTGACGATGGACGAATTATAATGAACAATCTATTCATGGTATGTGAGTTATTATAAAAATGTATATATAGTTTAAAAAACAAACTCAAACTCATTTTTGGCTACAAAACTTGCAGAAACTTAGAGGGCAACAGTCAATAGCAATAGATGATTCGAATAGTGGTCAAGAAAACAGAGATTTCAAAAGCATGGGATGGGAAGAGTGGAGAGATTCAAGAAAAGATGGCTACGGTTTAGATGTGACGAATCCGACCTCCGACAATGCTCTAATGGATGCAATGCACAAGGGAGATACTGAATTGGTTAAGAAGATAGTTAAAGAACAAAAGTTAGAGAGAGCCAAAGAGGACATATCAAATAGTGAAACCGCTGGAAGAAGTTACGCCAACGATTCACCGAAAAAAGATCCATATTGCAGCTCAAGCAACCAAATCACCAAACCATGTAAAAGAGAAGATAAGAGAGTTACCATCCACATGATGTCACAGTGCAAGAACGGGAAGTTGATACTCTTACCATCATCCATTAAAGAGCTTCTAAGACTTGCAAGTGAGAAGTTTGGAGGCTGCAGCTTCACAAAGATAACCAATGCGGACAACGCCGAGATTGATGATTTAGATGTGATTTGGGATGGTGATCATTTGTATTTTTCATCAAATTGAGTTTGAAAACTCGACTTCATTTATAGAGCATGAATATCTATCTGCAAGTGATGTATTCTTTACTCGGCTTCATAGAAAAGTTAACATTAAATTTACACACTTCAACATGTTTATATAAAAATAATCAAAATAAAAAAAATTAGTTTTCATTACTTTTCAAATACTCCATTCGTTTCATAATATAAAATGTTTTGGAAAACTTTTTAATCTAACATCTTATATTTTGAAACGGAAAGAATATATTTTATATTTATATAACAAATAAATAAATAACTTATTCTACGAACATGGACTGCATGCACGCAGTACGCACATCGGATTCCTCAACCTACTCATTTTACACAAAATTCCCATTTTACCCTCCCCAATACTAATTCTCCTTCTTCTTTCACAGACCTAATTTTGTCATTTCATCTCTAAAATTTCCACCTCTATATAAAGCCACCAACAATCACGACCACAAATCTCATCGAAATGTCGTCTCAAGAAACGAAATCAGATCAAAGAGAAGGAGCAGAGATCTGCAATGGCGAATCAAACTGCAAACAAAAAGCCAAAGAGATCTTATCAACCATGAATCTACCCAAAGGACTTCTTCCATTAGACAACATGACAGAGATCGGTCACAACAAATCAACCGGTTATGTCTGGATCAAGATCAAGAACAAGGTTCAACATCGGTTCAAAGCCATCGGAAAAAACGTATCGTACGATTCGGAGGTTACTGCGATCGTTGAGAATCGTCGGATGCGACAGCTTACTGGGATCAAAAGCAAAGAGATTCTGATTTGGGTTACGATCTCTGAGATCTTTGTTAATGATCAAGATCCGACTATAATCACTTTTGCTAATCCTACGGGACTTTCACGTACTTTCCCCGTCACTGCTTTTGAAGAAGACGAGTGATTTTGATTTTGTCAACGCTCATTATGATACTTTTTTTTTTTTTTTTTTTTTTCGACACTCATTATGATACTTTGCTTAGCTAAATTATCTCTCTTTTCTTTTTTTCTTATAATTCCTTTTGTTTAGCTAAGTTCTTTCTTCAACATCTGATTTCTGCATCTTTATAAAAACTAATAATATAGAAAGACAAAATTCTACAACACAGAGTCTGAGTTGGGAGAAAAAAAAAAATTACTCTTTCTTTTGGAAATTTTGAGATTGTGGTGATGCATGTATACTACTGGCAAAAATGGTAAGAAAATGAGATGAAAAATACAATTCTCGTCTCTTTGGTTCGAAATATTAGAACATATAGATAGTGGCGGACCCAGAAATAGTTTTTACCGGGGTCATAAAAATTAATAAAACTATATCATATCATTATGCATAATTATAAAAATTATTTCCCAAAAAATAAGGCATTTTTGATATAATAAGATGAAAAAAGAGGTAAAATTTATAGAAGAGATGTTCAAAAATTGTCAAAAAAAAATATATATAGCCAAATGTGTAAAAATGGGAGATTAAACCAGGAGAAAGGGGTGTCAATGGGCAAGAATTTGTCGACTTAGCTGCTTATTATCTAAGATTATGCTACAAAAGTTTAAATATATTTTTTTAACCTGTGTCAAGCCTATTTTTTCAATGGATCCGCCAATGCATATAGAATTAGTTTGATGTAAATATAAAACCGGTTGGTTCGGTTCAAATAAAACTGGTTATGGTCTACTCGTGTAGATATTTGTATGAATTTTTCCACAAAATTATTACGGATTTTGCCAATTATAGAATAATATTTATAGATTTTACTATTTTTGAACATTTAAAAATTTTAAATTTACAATTTGTTTTTGCTAAAATACATATTTAAAAATCTATAATAATCCTCTAGAAAAGATCATTTAATATCTAATGTTGAGAGTGTAAAACACATGTTAAATCTTAAGAATGACAAATCGACTAATAGAACGCATGTTAAATTTTAATCGACTAAACACATCTAAAATACATATTTTATAACAATACTAAATCCTAACAACAAATGGAAATGACTAAACTCAAATATAGTTGATAAAACACATACATTAAATTGTATTTTTAAGTGGTCAAAAATGGCAAATCGCCACTCCAACAAATGGCAAACTCATAATTGATTCTTGGGAGACTCATAAAAATGCCCCTTTTTCAATATCCCTTTTCAAAAATGCCATCTTTGACTGTCTATTTTTAAAAATACCCCTTTTTATGTACAAAATGACTAAATTACCCTTCTTTTAATAAAAGATATCACAAATATATAAGGAAATATAACAAAATTAGGTCCACAAAATACAAAATATTTTTTGGCGGGAAAAGTGATCCCTCAATTTTTTCCGTCAAAACACTTGTAAAAACTTTAAAATACCTTGTAAAATTTTCCCGTAAAATTTTTTCCCGCCAAAAAATTTTCCCGCCAAAAACTTTTTTTTGTGGGAAAAGTGATTTCGTAATTTTTTTGGCGTTAATTTTTTGGCGGGAAAATTTACAAGGTATTTTAAGGTTTTTTACAGGGTATTTATAAGCTTTACAATGTATTTTGAACGGTTTTCCAGCGTATTTATAAGGTATTCATAAGATATTATAAGCTTTTGCAAGCTATTTTATAAGGTTTTACAAGTTATAAGATTTTACAAGTTTTTTATAAGGTTTTACAAGTTTTTTACAAGTTATAAATTCCTTATAAAACTTTATAAGTACCTTGTAAAACCTTTTAAAATACATTGTAAAACCTTACAAAACACTTGTAAATACTTCGTAAAACCTTTAAAATACCTTGTAAATTTTTCCCGCCAAAAAAATTTTGCCAAAAAAATTGCGGAATCACTTTTCCCGCAAAAAAAAATTTTTGGCGGGAAAATTTTTTGGCGGAAAAATTTTTACGGGAAAATTTTACAAGATATTTTAAAGGTTTTTTACAAGTGTTTTGGCGGGAAAATTGCGGGATCACATTTCCCGCCAAAAAATATTTTGTATTTTGTGGACCTAATTTTGTTTCAAATAAGGGTAAAATGGTTATTAAAAATTAAAAGAGGGCAAACTTAAAAATGGACTCTCAAAGGGGGCATTTTTGAAAAGGGGTATTGAAAAATGGGCATTTTTAACAATTTCTCTTGATTCTTTTTCCTCATACATATCTAAACATTCAAAAATTTAAAATTAGATCTCAAAAAATATTTTCATGTTGTGCTCATTAATGTGATAATATCACACATAATTACGTACATACAATGATACATATGTAATACAACTTGGTTAATTAACCTATCAATGAAATTATATGGACCAATTGATACATATCGATCGGATTTAATTATAAAGATAAGAAAAGAATATAGTTTGACTCGAGAGGCTAATAGCCTAGGTCTCTTTCTCAGTTTTTATACTATGTATTTCAACAAATATTCGATCTAAGGACGGATTTATTGTAACAAGGTTTTTGGTTGAATAAATTTTACATTTATTAAAAAATAAAATAAAAAAATAAATAAAAATAAGAAAAGAAAAAATCAATGGTGAGATTCAGCCCCACATATCCGTGAGATAATTCTTACAGCTACTACTATTGAGAGACCAAGATTCATGATCTAACCATTTTCTTCTCTTTTGTATTTTCCTCAACGATTCTTGTTTCTGTTCTTCTTCTTGTTCCTCGTATGTAGATGTCTCAATCTTCTTGAGATTGTGTCTGTATTCAACAACTACTTGCTCAAACACTTCAACTTCAAACATGTTCATTTTCACCTTAGGGTTTATGTGATCTCTCACAAACGCAAATGCTAATTGATCTCGCGGGTTAAACGCTTCTAACTCGTTGAACATGAAGCACGAGAATAGGTTGCTTCTGATTCCGTGTCTTCGCAGTATCAACGCGGTATCTGGTACATCTAGTGCAAATATCAATTAACATGAGAAATCAGATTTCTTAGGAACATTAAAATCCAATGAAAATAAACTTGCAAAGATAGTATCATCCATTCATTATATATTGTAAATGACGTAATAATCTTCTCTTGGACGGACCAAAACCACCAAACCACTTGCGGTTGGGACCCTAATTAACTTGATCTTATAACATTTCTTTCACTATCTCGTACTCTCATTGTTGTGTTATATGGGACCACGTCGTTATTCTTTGATTGCAACTATGATTTTATTTTATTTCTGAAGGAATATGTCCAACAATCAAACAAATAAAAACAAAATTACAGCTAGAAATTATCCTGCGAAATTTTGTTGTTTGTATATTATAATCACAAAAAATCATCTATATTACTATGGAATTGGCACAAAAAAAAACTCTCGAATTACATTACTATTATTTCCTGACTTGTCTATTGCCAATTACATAAAAATATAGACAACTATATATTCAGATATATACTAACGGATCAATTAAGTTATCTCTCTACAATTTGAATCATTGAAAGTATAGTTTTCATGATTACCCGTGAATCGAATTTTCAAAAGCCACGGGAAAAAAGAACATAACCTAACCAATTAAAGCCAATCTTCATGCATAAGACATGACTCTTTAGTCTTTAATGCAAAGTAATATACACCAACATTCTGGACAAAGGAAGGTATATATGTTTTTCTTTTTTTTTTTGGTATGGAGGTATATATGTTTTTCTAAAGATTATATATATTAATTAATATTATTTTAACATTTAACAACGGGGCTCAAACTAGAAATAATACATAAAAACAACTTTAGACCAAAAATTTTATATATTAAAAGAGATGTGAAATAAAAACTGTTATATGTTACCACAACGCCATTTTTTTTATAACCATTAGAATATTTAATTTAAAATAAAAATTGTAAAATACACTTGATGAATGTAAACTTCACTATTTTTTACTAACCAATAACTTAACAAACGACAAAACAAAGTTCAAGTCTAAGATCATACCAATATTAATTTGCAAATAAACTATTACCACACAAAAAAAAAAAAAACATATTATTACCATAAGCTTGCACGATAAATTTAGAACGTAACATGACTGAGTCTACTATCTAACTATGCATATATAGACAAGTGCTAACAATTATACTTTGAGATTAAACTAATAGATTTATTTTTATATTGAAGCTTACCTAACTACCTATATACGGGTAAAGAAAACTAATCATCATTAATTAACCATAGAAAAATGAAAGCTTTTGTTCGTTATGATTTAGGGAAGATTTTATTACCTGTGGGATATGGTAACTTATGAGAGCTCCAAGGCTTCAAACCATGCTCACAATAAGTCTCCATTTGAATCCTTAGCCCGTCGACGTCGCCCCATTTCTTCCACCTAGCGGTAGCCATAGCTTCCTCCATTGTATTTACAAAAAACGGATGTTTAGATATCGCCATATCCACTTCAGGCACTACCAACATTGAATGAATTAGAAGTAGCGGATCGATCATGAGCTGAATTTTCGCATCAACCCATATACTAAACTTTGAGTTTGGAAACAATCTATGTATTAGATACTTTGGTATAACCCCGTTCATAGCCGGGTTAAGGTATAGGTTTTCGGATTTTGAGATTTTGATGACTCTCCATGCGCCGACTCTATAATCTTTTGGATTGTTTTTGAGGATGACATTGTGGTGGAAGAGAGAATTTAGGGTTTTATCGTCGATGAACATGTAGAAGCAAACGGTTTCTAAGGTTTTAACTCCGAGTCCCACTGGTTGTCTAATCTTGTCATGGTCGTTAAAAATAGCTGATGCAACTACTAGTCCACATTTCTCCATCTCAACTCTATCTACCAAAACAGAAAACATTAGAGAAAAAAAAATCAAATCAAATTTTTTTTATATGATATTATAGAGAAAAATGAAACAAGTGATGTCAGTGAAATATCATAAACTAAACAAGCGTAACGTAAATGAGTTTATAATTTTGAATAAATGCTTAAAGATTTGTCTAATTTACACAAAACAAAACAAAAAAATCAAATTATAATCATACCGTTATGATCCTGATTCTCTCCGGTTTACTCGGTGTATTGAGTTTTGACTGAATAAAATGTTGTATAACTCATAAACCAGTTACCGGTTAAACCGGTTAACCAAAATCTTTTTACTAAAATGATGATAATCTCACCGGAATTGCTGACCGGAAAATCTCTGAAGAAGCCGCATGGAACTTCGATGTCAATGTTCGAATGGTTGAAATAAGAAAATCTCTTCTGAGTACTAAAATTACCACCGAAACTCTCACTTTTTCCATTAATGTATCTCAAATTTTCTTGTGATGATGAATCACTCAAGATACTCTGTATCTCCTTCAACACTGTCCAATAATCTGATTCACATAAAACAAAAAACAAAAAACAAAAAAAATAGAATAAAAACAGATAATGTGAAATTGTTTAATCATAGAAAATAGAGGAAATGTAAGAAAATCCAAACTCAGACTAATTTGATTTTTTTTTTTCGCTATTTAAAGCAAATTATAGTGGCCAACAATATTGAAGTCACACTGTGAATCCATGGCCACTAATCAAAAATGTTTTATTTTATCTAAAAATCAAACTTTAGTGAAAAATGAAAAATTAAAAATGAAGAGATTGTTAATTACCTGAAAAGAAAACAGGGGAAGAACAAGAAGATCGATGAGTGGGAAGAGCATATTTGTGTTCACCATAAGAAGAAGGATAAGAGAAAAGTTTTGGTTGAATCGGATCAAATGGCGAATATCGAAAGACGCATTGGTTTCTTGAGAGAGATACATAGAGGAATAGAGAAAGAGTAGTGAATAAGTAGAGAAGTGAAAAACAGAGGAGTTTTGATCGAGCATAGAGCGGTGGAGATAGTGTGGTTGTGATGAATTTTCCCATCGGAAAAAGAGAGATTTATGGTTTATTTATTATTCATTTTGTTGAGAGTGATTGGTGTTGAAGATGAAGAAGAAGAAGAAGAAGGAAGAGAAGATCTTCATTTGAGTTTGTGATGTTGATAATAAACTGAAAGTTAGAAACTGTAGCAGCTTTTTAAGGTAAAGCGTTACTAAAAAAAAAAAAACAAATCTTATTTTATTATTTAGTAAAAGCACAAAAAATCTATATAAATCGGTGTTTCTAAAATTTGCATAAGATTTCTATTTTTATTATGATGTAAATTTTGGAAGAAAAAGAAACTCCTCTTAGGATTTGAAATGATTGTAGTAGACAGAGCGAATTATATAATCCGTTCTTAAAATGAACCGTTCTGTTTTTTAGACAAACATGCAATAATTTACTATAGAACAATTTTTTATTTTTATTTTTATATGTTTGCATGACTAGGGATTAAAATATATGAATAGTGAATCAAAAGCGGTTTTATCAGAAATCTTATTGGTCTGTTCCATGTACAAACCATTTAAAGCTACACTTTTTCAATCTTTTGTTTTATGTCAAGCTTACAATTTTTCAATAACTCTCCATTTTCAGGCTTACAATCTTGACAGTGGTTGAGGCTCTGGCTGTCAAGATTTATCATTACAATTGCAACTTCAAACGGTCAAGAACCCTCGCGAATCAAACACATTCACACAACACCAAAAGTTATATGAGTTCTCCAATTTGTATGTCTCGGTGAGTCTTTGGTTACAGGTTCTGTGGGGGACAAACTAAGCAACAAGAAAAGAAGATGGACAAAGATGATACTCTGAAAATGGATGGTGCTGAAGCAAGCGACCTATACCTAGCCTTCGGAGCAAGAGCCAGGCCTATAATTGTAGGAGGGCGCGACGGTTGCCGCAAAACCTAAGGCACGAGCCCGGGTGGAGCGGCCGTCGGTGCATATCTTGGTAGTAGATAGTAGTAGCAAATATTAAAACTAGAGCTAACAAGTGCTCTATTTGTAACAAACTCATCCCTTCTCTTCTCTTTTGATGGGCTTCGGCCGAACCTTTGTAGTCAGGCCCAAATTATTAACACCTCAAAAGAATTTGATAAACCCATATACTGTAATCACGACCAAACCCTGAACAAGAAGGCCAAAACCATGTAGGCCAACTCAACACGACCCACATTGGGTAATCCACGACATCGATCACGACCATATATATTCATATTGTCAAGTGCGTTCACAAAAAATATATATATATTATTGTCAAGTGATGATTCCCTTTTCCGTTCATGTCTTTCAACATCAAAAAATGCAGCACTCCATTTTTTGACCGAAATTACCGACTGCTAAGATGTCAAACATCGACTCGAGGGATCAATTCTTTATTCTTTAAATCCCAAGATAATTTAGGATTCGAGTTTGAGGACATAAAATAAGAAATAACGGTACAAAAGTAGACAACAGTTGATTTTTTTTTTCACTCTTAATTGGTAACTATTAAACTATTATATAACACACTTTGTATAAATTTATTTGTACTAAACTAATTAATGGATATGATAGGTAACATAAAGCACTAAGAATTGTTTAGTGGTAAGAAATAATAAAATAGTTAAAACCACTAATAAATAATGGTTTTAACTAGAAGATAATAATGTTTTTTGAAACATGTAGCAACATTTGTTTTGAATGTAATGTTAAATTATATTTAAAGAAAAAATATCTTTTTTACAATTAGTGTATCGGAAAGTTGAAAGAAACAGTTTGAGGCAAAGACTAGAAAAACAAGAAAATATTAATCTCCTGATGCAAACTGTTAAGAACACCTTAGTAGTTGTAAAAGGTATTTCTTGTTGATCATATGCGACGGCCAAGTGCCTTATATACAAGAGAATGCGCGTTAACCTAATCCAACAAACCGACTTATATTTGTCGATATATACAAAGCCCAAGTAGGCCCAATACCCCCCCTCAAGGTGGCGTGTGGAGATTACACACACCCAGCTTGACCAAAAATGCTTCAAACTCTTTACGACCCAAAGCTTTGGTCATGATATCGGCGAGCTGAGATGTTGTGTGGACATGTTTAGTGACAATAACCCCGCGAATGATTTCATCTCGTATGAAGTGAACATCTTTCCTGACATGTTTAGTACGAGCATGAAAGACAGGATTCAAAGCTAGACTGATCGCCGATAAGCTATCGGAATTGAGAGTGATAGGAGCTGAGCATTCAATACCAAGAGCCGGAAGTAATTCTCGCAACCAAAGAAGTTCTTGCACTGTGTCTGCCATGGCGCGATATTCAGCCTCACAAGACGATCGTGACACAACATCTTGTTTCCGTGTCTTCCAAGATAATGGAGAATCTCCTAGTTGAATGAACCATCCTGTTAGTGAGCGACTAGTAATAGGGCAGGACGAGTGATCTGCATCACACCAAGCTGTAAGAACCAAAGGCGTGTTAGCTTTGAGAAGAATGCCTTGGCCCGGGCTGTGTTTCAAGTAACGAACAACGCGGAGTGCAGCTTCCCAGTGGTCCTGTTTCGGGGCATTCATAAATTGAGCAAGAATATGAATCACATAGGAGAGCTCCGGTCGTGTGTTGCCAAGATATATTAACCGACCAATCAAGCGACGATAACGGGACGGCTCCGACATTTGATCACCAGTTGCGAGAGCTAGCTTGTGATGTTGCTCAAGCGGGAAGGTGGCTGGCTTTACTCCGAGAAGACCAGTCTCTGAAATTATTTCAAGGGCATACTTGCGTTGGCATAAATAGATCCCCGTGGGGCTGCGGGCAACTTCAATGCCTAAGAAGTAACGCAAAAGTCCGAGATTTTTCATATGAAAGCACTGACTAAGATAGGCCTTGAACTCGTTGACGACATGGAGAGAGCTGCCTGTGATTATCAAATCGTCGACGTAGACAAGGACGTGAAGACGAGTAGTATTGGTCGCAAGTATAAACAAAGAGTAGTCTGACATGTCTTGTTCAAAGCCAAAATTCTTCAAAGCAGCACCGAGCTTAGCAAACCAACAACGCGGTGCTTGCTTAAGTCCATATAGAGATTTCCGTAGGCGACAAACCTTACTTTTGTCATCAGTACGAAACCCGGGAGGAAATTGCATATAAACTTCTTCGGTAAGGTCACCGTGTAAAAACGCATTGTGGACGTCCATTTGGTGAACTTCCCAGTCCAAAGAAGCTGCTTGTTGTAGAAATGCTCTTACTGTAATCATTTTAGCGACAGGTGCAAAAGTTTCCTCATAATCAATACCTTCGGTTTGATGGTTGCCAAGAACAACGAGACGCGCTTTATGACGTTCTAGCGTTCCGTCAGCATTGAACTTGAGGCGAAAGACCCATTTGCAACCGAGAGCTTTCTTTCCGGGTGGAAGATCTTCAACTGTCCATGTACCATTGTCTTCAAGAGCTACAATTTCATCTTTGACAGCGTATCGCCAATTTTCATCAAGGACAGCCTCTTTGTAGTGTTGAGGCTCATATCCAGAACTAATAGCTGCGAGATATGCTTGATAGGTGGGAGAAAACTGAGAAGATGAAACAAAATTTTCCAACGGGTAAGGAGTATTCGTTGGTGGCGGATCGTGAAGCAACATCAACACATAGTCAGAAAGTTTTGTAAGCAATTTTTTCGGTCGCTTACCAACACCAAGTGGTTCAGGTCCAGGTCCGTATACAGGTAATGATTCAGTCGTGACTGGTAGCGTGATAATTTCAGAATCACTATGTTGTTCATCATCGGAAGAAGTGGAGGACGACGAGACTTCAGTAGACAAAGTTTCTGTTGGAGATTCAGTCTCGGGCTGCGTAGTAGTAGTAACAGGTTGCAAATTTGTGTTCTCAAGCTGACAAGAAGATGACGGAATCACAGTAGGTGGTGCGACAGATTCCGGAGAGCTGTCGTCAAAATCATCAGAGATAAGCGGAGAAGAAGAAGTCTCCGGCGGAGAGAATTGAGAAGACAGTGAAGAATTCTCAAAGGGAAACTCAAATTCACTAAAAATAACATCTCTTGACACAGAAATTCTCCCAGTTTCAATGTTGTAAACTCTCCATCCCTTCTTTCCAAAAGGATACCCAAGAAAAACTGATTTCGTGCTACGTTGTGCAAACTTATCACCGCCGTGTTTTTGATTATGGACGTAACAAAGACAGCCAAGAACACGAAGATGATTCAAAGGTGGTGGCCGATTGTAGATGAGCTCAAATGGCGTTTTTCCTTTAAGAATTGCAGTGGGAGTACGGTTGATCAAGTAACCAGCGGTTAGAGCACAATATCCCCAAAATTCAATCGGTAAATCAGCTTGAAACATGAGAGCACGGGCTACGTTTAAAATGTGACGATTCTTACGTTCGACCCTACCATTCTGTTGAGGAGTTCCAACGCAAGAAGTCTCATGAATGATACCATTTTCCATGAAGTAATCGGATAAACAAATGAATTCGGATCCATTATCACTTCGTATAGTTTTGACTTTGGCGGAAAATTGTCTTTCAACTAACGCAAGAAAATTCTTGAGATGAGTTGGTGCATCTTTCTTAGATGGTAGTAGGTATATCCAGACCGCACGAGAGTAGTCGTCCAAGATAGTAAGAAAATATTTAGAACCGCAAATAGCCGATGTCCGGTAAGGACCCCATAGATCACAGTGAACCAATTCAAATGGAAAAGTGGTTTTATTACTACTCAAAGGAAAAGAATCTCGCGTCTGCTTAGCATGAATACAAATGTCACACGCCGTGGAATCAAAGCTACTACTACTAAATTTAGAAAAATGCAACATCTCCAAAGCCTTAGAAGAAGGATGTCCTAAACGACGATGCCAAACGTCAGCTGGTAATGACTCCATTGCTTGAACCGTCGCCATTTTTGTATCCACTCCTCTAAAAAAATACAGCCCATTTTCTTGCTCACCGGCGCCAATCAGCGTTCTCGTGATGCGATCCTGAACAATACAAACCCGGTCAGTTATCTGAAACACGCATCCTCTATCTCTAGTCAACTGTGAGACTGATATAAGGTGACATTTAAGTCCATCAACAAAAAGAACTTCCTGAAGCCGTAGAGAAGAACCCAAAACAACACGTCCATATTTAGTAGAAGACGTATA